GAATAGATGTCCTACAAAATATTTTTTCTACAACATGTTTAAACATAGCCAAGAGGTCTTTGTGGTTTTTTTCCTCCCTTTGATTTTGTCTTGTCTCACCTGTTGCATGGGAAGAGGATGGCAAGGATGAACTGCATGTAGTAGGTTGTGTCTGTCAAAGAACTGTTGGTCTGTATTACTAAATTTACATCCATATATGCAAAGAGTTTGTCTGCATTGTACAGTTTGTGTTTATTCTTATTTGTTGTATACACAGATTCAACATGATGAATAAAACATTTATATGAAGGCATACCAGAAAACAACAAAAAAAGTTTTATGAAAGAAGTAGACTGTGCAAATCATCAGTGCACTGGCCACAGGATGGTGAAACTTCATGTAAATAGGTTGGCAAACTCAGTTCTCCCCTTTTACCATGCCAAAGAAAATTTTAGCTCCTTAATATAATACCTCTCTTTCTTGCTGTTCTCCAGGATGAGACTTCACCATTTTCTTCCCTCTAAAATTGATTTTGCTGTTAAGTGAAAGCTGTTTTCAACTGTCTGTTACTACTAAAGTACTGTATAGTAAACCTGATGGAATCAATTTGTATTTACAGATTGGGGTTTTTGTACTTACATGTCCAGCTGTCTGTGAATCTGCAGCGTTCCAGATCTTTTGCATGCTTGCTTTGTATTTTGTTCTTCTTCTGGGTTTTATCTAATCTCTGAGAGACTGTTTGCACAGCAATCATCTTACCATTTTGTATGTTAACACTGCACATAGTCACTATCTCTGTCTTTTTTTTTTTTAATCTGTATTTCAGCTACAGTTCTATTTGACAAAATCAGTCACACCTGCACAGTTTTAGAAATCCAGTTTTAAGTAGATAGGAACTACTTCAACAAAGCACCGTTTTGTTGTACTTTAGAAATTTTATAAATACACAATAATCCTTTTGAGATTGCTCACATGATAGAGCCTATAGAAAGGTGTCTATAGCTTTTAAGTGCTTTGTAGTTCACATAACACAGCTTTTGCTTAATTTGCTGGGGTGTTTAGCCACTCTCAAATAATTTTTTAATATAGTGTCATTTTCATAAACTTCCAACTTGTGTAGAGTCAGGCTGGTTCTTAACAAGCCCCCTCCCCCCCCAAATATAAAGCGATTCACTTTGACTATGGTATGTACCTGAAACAACACTAAGAACTCTGACTTTTTTTTTTTTTTTAGAACTTTTTCTCTTGGTTTGAAACCACTGTAAGCAATGAGGTATGAAGGCAGGGAGTTTAGTCCATGCCTTAAAAGTGTGTCTTGCTGATCCATCTGTTTATTGGTATAAAGAAGAAATTATCACCTCCGTTCAAATGGGAATGCAAGTAAAATTAGACTAAGGAAGGAGGTTATCTTTCTTTTAAAAGCCCCTTCAGATAAATTCATATTCCGTGCAATGCATTTTGAAGTATCTAATAACAGGAGGTTTTCTGTGATAACTAATGCAAATGCTATGACTTATTTTTAAAGACGTAATAAAATTTTTGTTCTGTTACCTAGTCACAGAAATATTCAGCTTAGCTTTCTTCATCCCAGTATCATCTAGCTGTATCATTTAGCTACAAAGTGAGATGTCATTCAGTAAAGAAGCAAGGGCAGTGCATCAGAAGTGTCAGAGCAGGTACATGATTAACTGTTCATCTGCGTGTTTCTAAAAGAGCGTATGGCCAGGGAAAAAAAGGATTACAAGTAGGTTAATAATTTACGAAGCAAATCAATCCACAGCTGTTTTATAGGTGATATTACAGATATGTTATATACAATAGGCATAATCCTCCAAGCCTATTGTAGAAGCGTTTGGCACACTTCTGGATTGTGTTCTTTCTCTCGTAAGAAGAAAGCAAGGTTATAGTATCTTTTGTTTATAAGGTTTATCAATCTAGCCAGTACAAAATCCCCATTTATCCAATTTATTTTTGCCACAGGCTTGGAAGCAAGTTTTTACAGTCACTAGGTATGAAGAATCAAGCAGTATGTTTCACACCCTTACACCTCTTCCTGCTTTTACAGTTTATGTATATCCGGAATTCCCATCACAGGGAATGAGGTGTAAAAATCACAATTTATTAATACAGCTATTATTTTCACATATGTGGAATAATGATCTTATTCCTTCCAATCTCATTTTTCTAGTGAGGAAATGAGCCACAAAACAGAACTGCTGGGAGTTACATCACCAGTTACCTCAGCATGAAGCGTGGGGGGGATGTTCAAGCAACATTATAAGAAACAGAATAAAAATTGGAAAGGAAGTTATGTATACATTATATTTTTAGTAGTCTTAGTTAATGCTTTAAGGTTTATAGCGATAGCACCATTTTGTTTGATAATTTACATTTTAATGAACCACTGACCGTAGCTGTCTTTTAGAATATTCTAATATTTTTCCATATGTACCTTAACATACAACTTGGATAACACTTTTTGAAATGCTATGGCTATGTAACCCATCCAGTAGCCAAAATGTTGGAATTGATTGGTTTTCTAAAAAAAATTCTAACTAGAAATCAGAATCATCTTACACTCTTTTAAGTATATAAATTTAAAATTAAAGCAAATTACAAAGTAAAATGCATCAAATATGACATTGCAACCCTCTAAAGAATTGTTCTTTTCTCTTTGAGTAAGAGTACCTGAAATACCATGGCTGATCTATGGGATATATAAATCTGCTTATCATGCCAGGAAATAAGTCAAAAGCATCTACTGAACCTAGATAAGAGTTTTGATTATCTAGTATTTTCTTGTTATGGTACTAAATAGAAATGGCAGGAAATCAAGGAAAACTTCGTATCTTTCATTGTTTACACTCTGATTCAGCAGATGAATGTATATGCGAAAAAACACTAAGGTATTTTGAGATTATGTAGGTCAGTGGTATTCATAAATATAAACAGAACCAACAATCTGTGCTCTCCAGACACCAGGGTTGACAAAATGCATATATGTTAAAATTTAAGAAAATATTCCTTTTAAGCTCTACAGAGTTTAAGAGTTATAAGTATAAAATATAAACTATAATTTTCAAGATGAATTTTACTTTGAAGATTCCTTATACTGTATCAATACATTTTAGAACTCTGCCTGGTATTTTGGTTATCTAAAAAGAGAGCAGCTAGCAGCTTTAGGGTGTATGTCTCTATTTATCTGCATAACTTCTACAGAAGTTATGCATGGATGTTTGGTGATTACACTCCCTGAGAACACAGGTTTCACAAACTTCATTTTTAGAAAGAAAGAATCCATGTTAAGGAAAAAATTGGGTAAGAGAAAGAGCAAGCTACATGGGAAGGGGTAATAATAAAAGTGATTAAATAAATTCATTCAAATTTTTTGCATTCTATTACATGTCCTGTACCATTGTATTTTCCTATTTCAAAATTATCCTTTCTAAAAGAAAACTAATTTCTAGACTAATAATGGAAATACCTTTTTTGGTTGATATATAGTTCCCTTATTTCTGAGTCATGTACTTCTTCAAAAATCAGGACCTTGGCACCTAAACCACAATGTTACAGTTTGGTATTAAAAAGAAATATTTTCCAGCCATTTAAGCAATTTCTCGCTCAATCGTGGTTTCACAAAATGTAAACACTTTTGAAACAAAAATGTATGTATCTTTTTTTTTGCTCGAAAGAATTAAAGGGCTGCCAAATCTACATGTACAAAAAAAATAAGAGACTTATATGTAAATAAGTTAGGGAAGTCCCAATAGTTGTGCATCATTCATAACTCAATGTGAATTTCACACTGAGCAGCATTTCACCATTGGAAAATAAAAATAAAATTTTTGTTCATACCACTGCTTTGTTTGTATTTACTGTATTAAAACTTTAATTACTTTGTTGCCATTGTCTGAACATCTTTGGCTGAGACCAGGCTACTGTATAGCATAGCTGATTTTTTAAGTCAGTTGACCTTCAGGCTCCACACTTCTATAAAAGCAGTTAAATTCAATGAATACAATGTGTGACAGTGCAATCTGTTCCAAACAGTGATTTCTAATAGCATACAGAATTGTCATCCTAAAAGTTATTAGTATAACAAATTTTCATTTGCTTTACTTTTAAGAGGACTAGGCAACCGTACATACATAGAACAGTATGATAAAAGTACATATGAGTTGCAGGATACATATTCAGAATAGGTAATCATACATTTATATCTTTATTAGTTTCATTCCTTATACTCCTATAGGTTATGTATTTGAAAGTATCGTAGTATGTAGACTAGATAACCAACTCTCTGACACATTAACCACCAAAACGAAGAAGTTCTTTTGTGGAAAAGGGTCTGTTCAAACATTTTGGGTCTTCAGTCTATGGTTGTCAGGTAATTGGACCTCAGTTATACAAATACAATTCTTTGACCAAATAAAAAATCATTAATATTTTGATAAGCTGCTTTACAGCTTCTCTCAATTTATGAGCCGGTGCATAATCAGGATTGTTGAAAGAAAAAAGCACCAATGTATTTGTCAAACACCATAAAATTAATCAAATTAATTATTTGACAAATGTTCAACTAGTGCTACTCTTCTGCAGGAGTATTGCTGCACACTGATACGGAGACGTGACAACCAAGTAAATAATGTTAAAAAAAAAAAAAAAAAAGGCTTTCTTATACCTTTTCCAAAGGTTGCTGAAGGAACAGGCATTATGGGTGTAATCTCAGTCCCATCAAATTTACCAAAAAACTCTGGAGAAGTTCCACAGGGCCAGTATTTTATGACTTCACCTTTTAGAGCTTGGACTGTCCTGCTCCCAAGGCATTTTTAATTTTTTTCTTTTTGTTTTGTCATGCGTTTCTTTAAGGAGCAGGCCCTCAAATGAGTGTTCTAAAGTATTTACACCCATGCGTGTGTGTGTGCATGCACACGCACATACTAAGTACTTCTGAAATTAAATGGTCTAGCAGCTTAAAGAAAAAACAAACAAAAAACCTCCTCAGTCTTTGATGTCCTTTGTTAAGGATATTCTCTCCCCAGCCAGATTTCACAAGCGTTTCCATTCCATCCTTCCCAGCACTCACAGTTTCCACAGCTGCAAACACCGTTGCCTAGAACAGAAAGAATAAAGGGCAATTATCATAATCGAAACATACTACATTAAAATGTGTTTTATGGGAAGTTAAAAGCCATGCTAAAGTAGTTGCATTGTTCCTTTATTGTTCCCCCCACCCCTTTTTCTTCTTTGGAAGGAAGCAGTTACTGTACCATTGCATTAAGAAGCCACCCCAAACCTACACTAGCAAAGCATTAATAGCATTCTCTCAATAATTCTATCATCAGCAGAACTGAAAATATTGTAATTATGCCACCACTTTTTGTACCCAGGTGTTGAGGCTCAGTGTTCACACTGTACCTCCAGGTACAAGGAGAAACAAGATTACTTTTAACTATTATGCAGAAAGAAAAAGACACTAAAAGTTACAAACAGAATAGCAATAAAAACATCGCTTTGAACATGAAAAACTTTAAATCTAAATTCTCGGAAGTGCTATTCAAATAAATAATATCTCAAACTCTCTATTAGATGAAAAATGTTTTGGCGCTATTTTGCAGCAGGGAAACATTAAGTGCTGAAACCCATATTTTCATTTTATTTCAGTATTTATTTTCCATGACTCCCAGATGCTCAGCTTGAGACCTTTACAGCCTGGGTTTCCAATGTGAGCTCCTCTTCCTACTGACTTCATGAAGATCCATGAATAGCTGTTGCAGCTGAAGATAAGGCTCCCGTTGCCTCTATACTGACTACTTGCCCCCAGAAAAAGACCCTTGCTAATAGGGCTAGCTGGAAGACATAATTTACTAGTGTCAGCCCTCCCACTCTCACTCTAATCGGCTTGCAGATTTCCTCCACATCTAATAGTTGCTCAGCAAAGATTTTCTAAAATTAAGATTTGTAACAGGAAACAGCCAGTAAGTTAATTTAGCAATTCCCATGTTGCTTCTTGTCGCCAGATTTGTCATGAGGGTTTGTTGGCAGCCTGCCCGTTTCTAGCTGCATCTGCTACCTGAGCTCTCAGACAACGTTAAGGTGAAGCCGCTTTAATCACTAGCCATCACATCATAAGAAAAACTGTCAGGTATTTCAGCCTCCCACCAAGAATCGTCTGATTGCCAGGAAGCACAACTATGCCTCTCACCTACTAAAGATCATCAGACAAGTGAATTTTGTGTGACTTAAATGTATTATACACATAGAAAGGCCAGAAAGAGAACAAAAATTAAAGAAATCTCATGATCATAATGCTGACACCGTGCGTCCTTTGCCAAAAAGCAGTAACTTGTAGTCTATTAATTACAGTGAAAACTGTTGATGGATTTCATAGCTGGCTTACTTATTTAAATTCATACTCAGGCTTTCAACTGTTGTTTTGAAACCTTAAGTTGATTATCATGCTGCACAAAGAAATAATTATATCAGGTTTGAATAGCCAGCAAATGCACTTCCTCCGTCAGTGGAGAAAGAAGAAGCTGGGCTTTGTCTAACGTAATTCCCATCAACACAGTTGGTTTCTTAGAGCAGTGAAGTGTTAGCCTGTACTGCACCTGTGCAAATGAGACCGTCGTGTTTGTCACAGTCTCTGTCATCGCATTCACAGAGATCGCCCGAAATGTACCATTCCTGTGGTGAACAGATGCACTTTCCACAGTGGCAGGAACCTGAAATCACAAAAATTATTACTCCCAGTCAAAGAGCACTGCATTTTCAGACGAGAAAATAACATCCCCGGACACACACGTGCACACACACACATGTGCATATATGCACTAAATTGCAGCCTAAGAAGCTATTGCATAAAAGAAAATAATCAAGCTAAAAGCTTTTTGAATAAAAGGATTCTTTCGGCATGAGCTAGAGTATGGTGGGACGTTACTACTAATGCTTTGATTCTGCTATTTCACTTAATCAGGACTCACATTTTGAAGCTTTCCTTTGGTTTCAGAGACCTACAATCAGGGCTACTCTTCCCAAGTAACTTTTTTTTTTTTTTTTTTTTTTTACTAGAAAAGCTCAAACTGTCCCTGACCCACTGTTCCTGAAGGCAATAAAATCACACCCAGGAAGAAAATGGCCCTCCTCATCTAAAGCCCACAAAAGACCAGAGGTGCCCAAGACTAACGTTTAGACCCTCAAAATCCTCATCACCACAAATGAAGCTGCTCCACGTCCCACGGAATTACTAAATGTTTGTGTTGGGTCAGAAAGAGTTTGTGCACATAACAGCGGCTCAGCAGTTTGCTCATTCCTGCAGAGTCCCCCAATGGCCCTTGCTGGGATGGGCAGCTCTCCTCCTCCTCCGGGATGTCAGGTTGCACCCCCACAGCCAAAGGAGGGACCTCATGGTGACATTCTTGTGATGCCATAACCCACCGAGCACCAGAAACCTCCCTTTAAGGGAAGATTTGGAGACATCCCTACCTTCTGGAGAGGGTTCATGGCTCTGAATCCTGGAGAGGGACAGTTGCCTGCAGGGAATTGTGTGTCAGGAAGCCTGTAGCCTGAAAATGGTATGAGAGGCTTTTCTGCAACTAGAAACGCCACAAGGAGACAGGAATTCCTCCTGGCTGATTCCAACACCCGGCTGAAGGGAGCTGGCTTTTACAGAGCCCATCCTCAGCTGCCTGACCCTATACAGAGTTCAGACACTTAAATGCCAACGTGAGACGCTTAGTAAGTGCTGAGCAAAAATCCTTTTGTGGACCTAGCCCTAAGAACTGGTTACAGCACAAATCAATACGAAAATCTCAAAACCCAAATAAATGATAACAAAGAATACACACATAGTTTTCAATTATGGGAGGCAGAGTTTAAAAAAAAGTCACCAAAGAAGCTGTCAGCCTTTAACAGAATGTGCTTATGAGTTGTTAGGTGCTGTTGAAAATCCTACTCTCTTGCATTATTTCCAGAATGAGTCCAGTACAAAGTCACCAATGTGTTTAATACAATATTAAAGAAAATATATAGAAGGAAGCTTGATTATATCAGAATACAACCTAAACGGAATTCATGCGTTACTTAACAGAGCCAGAGCCAAAGTGTATAAAATGATGCTTTTTCCATTCTTTTCAGTGTCTTCTGTATAAAATCCATAGTAAAAATCCAAATACACATTTAAAAAAAAAAGTGGATCTGTCAAAATCAACCAATTTTCCCCTAGGTTTTTCCTGTAAATACTGAAGCGGCTCTGATCAGTGAAACTTAATTCTTTAAAACTTCAGAACAGTCTCAGCAGAATATCTAATTTTTTAATTAAAAATGTAAGTAAATTAGTGTTTATTGTAAGCTGACAAAAGTTAACTCATTGCCTAGTTTTAGAGAAATGCTGTTTTAACTTGTAACATATGGAACACGTAAATATATACAGGAAGACCTGTGGAACATTTGGAGATGGGAGTATTTAGTTGAGCAGCTACTTTTTCCATGATTTCTGAGTATTGCTTACTGAGCCATGGGCACAGAAAATACTGACATTCCCTACAAGGATAAAAAATGCCGTTGTATAAAGAGGCAGTGGAGGATAGCATACATATTGCATGGTTGCTGTAGAAGAGATACACTAAGACATACTTGAGGGTAATTTAAACCGCATGTCTCTGTTTATACAAACTGCAAGGTACTGACAGCTGAAAATAATGATGAATAGTATCAGAATTTTAGTGAAATTAAAGCAGTTAATAAAAGCATGACATTCTAAGAAACCTGAAGTGATTCTGCATAAGCAGGCACTGATGCTGCTACTGAGGGATGCCCATGATGTTTAAAACTATTTTGCAGAAGATAGAGCAAATTTAACACCAAGTCAACCAAAGAAGATCAGGCTCCATAATATAAAATCTGTTAGGGAGAATGAATGTATCGAGTCTTTTCCCTGAAGAGAGCATGCTGCTCTGGGAGGCTCCTCAGTTTAATTAAAATGAGTCTAATGAGTTGCAGGGTGTTCCCTGGGATCCCAGCCAGATCCTCTCGGATGGGATTTGGCTCATTACCTAGCCCACGTCCTGCACCGTTACAGTAGCCATCTGCAGCCCTACGTTTCTGCCAGGGAAGCAGCAGCGTGGTGGGTGTTGCTGTTTCCCTTGGAAAGAGCTTTTACTACAGGTGGCATAGTCAGCGAGCCAAGATTTTGAAAACAACCTAGGAATGTGGATGTCCAGCTTCGCTTATATTAACAGACTGTAATTTTCTGAAAGTGTTCAGCAGTTACCTGCTGAAAAAACACGACTCCTTAGAGTCTATTAAATCCTACATGCAGAAACTCAAGCTCCCTCAATCCATTATAACGTTTGCATATCTTGGCTAGGTTTCCAGCAAGGATGGAATAACCACCATTGGTGCACAGGTTTGAAATTCCCTTTTATATGACCAGTAATGCTTACTTATGGACGGATGTAATGAAACAGAAAGAACAATTTGTCATTTTAGCCTCTGGATAGTCCCGGTCACACTTTCTATGAACAACATTTTAAAGTATGGGTAGCCAGTAAGACATGATTTCTAGATACTTATTTAAGCATCAAGAATAGATTTGCCTGAAAAAAAAAGAAAAGAAAAGAAAAAAGAAAAAAGAAAAGAAAAAGGGGAAAAAAGACAAAAAATAAGAAAAAAATCTAAACGTAGAAACAAAAGTTACAAGTGATTAAACTGTCTTTGCCTGTGATCCCCACCCTGCTCAGAGAAGAGGCAGGAGATAGTAACCTCCTTGGATGTTCACTGCCCACACACTTCTGGAAGTTATCTTATGTAGCTATTTCTCTTCTGGGACAAGAAGTTACACATATGAGCACCTGTTCCCACAATAAAGCTGCTATAGCATCTAATTTGACACAGCTTTATTATATTGACTGTCCTCAGGGCAACCTTCTGTCACATGACTTAAAAAGAAAATCCCACCAGTTTTGCTGAATATGGATTTAGGGTCAGGTTTGTAATTGCCATAAAAAGTAAACACTGTTCACCAGTTCGCTACTATCTTAGAAAAACTGGGCCTTTGGAGATATTTAAAAGTCCTAAAAGTCAGTGACCAGATCCCAAACCACTCCCTGGGCAGTATAGCCAACAGAGGGGAAAAAAAAAACCTCAATGTCTCTGCAAATTCCTTCCAGATTATCTGCTCCCAAAGCCTCAAAGTAAATTGTAGCCTTCATATACGTGCTCAGAGCTAATTGTTCTCAGAGTAAGACCCACAGGCTGGAATACATAGCTCTCAGCCATCCTTACAAAAAGGTAGCAGATTATACAAATATTTTAAAATTCAACATAATTTTTCATGTTTATATTTATTTAGAATCTTATATAGTGATCAATTTTATTGATTTTAAGCATATTCGCTCACCTTCATGGTTTATATAAAAAAATCACAGGGAGGCCAGGGCTAAGAGAAGAAAAGTTAACTTCTGCAGTAAAACAGAGTAACACCATTTCTCCAGTAACTCAGCAGCCTCTTACACATATGCTAATTTAAAGATAGCCACATCTTCTGGAGACAATGGAGAAACAGTACAACTTCCTTGTTTTCAATGACATTGCGACAACGGGGGG